TTCTCCACTCCCACTGCTTCACTTAACTAACCCTGTGTACGTGGAAGAATGTGCCTTACTAAGCCCCTGCTGTAAATCATTATAGACCTATGTCATTGTAGAAGGTATATTAGACTATGGAAAATAAACCTCGGCGCCTCGGGCTGTTTGCTAGGGGTCCCCTGTGCCTCGCTATACTGTCGTCTCTTTTTCTCAGTTCCTTTGCCGCCCCAGGTCCCTGACTCTCAGAGGTTGACAAGTGGCACCCGAACAGGGACCTGAAGCCCCCGTCAAGGAGTGATCGGCCAGCAATAGGAACCCTACAGAAGGTGGTAAGTAGGAAAGTTTATTACAGGGTTATGGGGCAATCAAATTCAAAAGCATCAGGTTTTGTTGCATTAATACATCCTTTTCTTAAAGAATATGGAGCTAAAGTTACTAAGCAGTGCATAGAAAAATGTTTGGAAACAGTAGTTTCCTTGGTTTCCGGAAGAAGGCTCCTTAGATGAGGAGACTTGGGTCCGAGTGAAAAATAACGTCTTGAAGGCTATGAGACAGGGTGAAACGATTCCCCTTGATTTCTGGCCCATTTGGGCTTTAGTACGAGTGGTGATCAATACTATGGAAACTGGGGATAAGTTATCCCCGGCTGAGGTTGCTAAAGAAACTACCAACTCTTTACATACATATGAATTAGACGATGAGACTTTAGAAAAGGCTAAGACTGAAAGTAAAAAAATTTTCGCAGCTTCACAGTCCCGGCCGTCACCCACGGCCCCTCCGCTTTTAACAGAGGACCCCACTGAAGATGATCAACCTCCCTCCACAGTAGATTTACTTCCTCTTAAACGATCCTCCCTAGCTCTCTCACCTCTCGAGAAGGAACTCCGACAGCAAGGGGCTAATGATCTATTTATGGCTTTCCCGATAGACTGAACACAAGCTGCTGGTCCCGTCTATGAGAGATTAGATTTAAATGCTTTAAGGAAACTAAAGAAGGCTTGCCACTCGTATGGACCCACAGCACCTTACACTATAGAGATTTTGAAAGCTTGGGCAAATTCTGGGGAGTGGATCCCTCATGATTGGCATATGGTTGCACGGGCTTGCCTTAAGCTACAGGATTTATTACAATGGAAAATGTCATTATCGGATGCTGCGTATATGAAAGCCCGGGCAAATCGGGCTAACCCAGCCATGCATCATATTTCTTTTGAAATGCTCACTGGCTCTGGTGCCTTTTCAGATGTTCGAGAGCAGTTGGTTAACACCCCACCTGCAGCCACAGCGCAGGTATCTGAAATCGCCCTCGCAGCTTGGGGAAAGTTAACCCCTTCGGGGGAAGTGGGGCAAAGTTATATAAAAATCGTGCAAGGCATTACAGAAGCATATACTGATTTTATTTCTCGGCTCGAAATGGCTATTGACCGCCAAGTCGATAGTAAACCTGCTAAAGAGCACTTGCTAAACAGCTTGCTTTTGAAAATGCTAATGAGGACTACCAAGCGGCCATCCGGCCACATAGAGAAACAGGAAACATTCTCGATTATCTTTGTCTATGTAGAAATATTAGCACTTTTACACATCAAACCCGGATAGCCTCCCTTCAGCTCATGGCCCTACAAAAACAACAGGATATAAAATGTTATAATTGTGGAAAAATAGGACATGTCAAGAAAGAATGCCGTAAAGCCCCCCAACCTAGAGCCAATTCTCCTTTTAATACCGCCCCTAGCCTCTGCCCTCGTTGTAGCAAAGGCAAACATTGGGCCAAGGAATGCAAATCCAAATTTGACAGGCAAGGTAACCCACTCCCATTGAGGTCAGGAAACGGGATGCAGGGCCACCCCGGGGCCCTGAACAACAACGGGGGATTCAATATGTCGCCTCTCCAGCAGCAACTTCCTGCTGCGCACATAAACTCTCCGTGTTATCACTCAGTCCCGCCACTCAGGGAAGTGCCGCAGTAGATTTAACCACTCCTTTTACAGTAAATCTTCACCCTGGTCTCAGGCCTCAAAAAATACCCACGGGTTATTACAGACCTTTACCAAGAGGAACCGTGGGTCTTGTGCTAGGAAGATCTAGCCTAAATCTTAAGGGAATCCAGGTGATGACTGGAGTAATAGATTCTGACTATGAGGGAGAAATAATGGTGGTCGCACAGACTCGGGTTCCTTGGACCTTTAAGGGAGGAGATAGAATTGCTCAGTTATTATTATTGCCCTATGTACAAATTGGTCAGTCCCAACAGATCAGACGAGGAGGATTTGGTAGTACCGATCTTCTCATGGTTAAATGGGCTTCATTATTGACTCAGACTAATCATCCTATGACTCTTAAAGTTCGAGGAAGGACTTTCTCAGGTCTAGTAGACTCTGGAGCCGATATTTCAGTAATAGCCTCCCAGCATTGGCCTAATACCTGGCCCACGCGAGCAATCTCTAGTTCGGTAGAAGGAATAGGTTTTGTGACGGCAGAAGAAATTCGACAAAGTAGTGTGCCACTTAAATGTGAGGGACCAGACGGATTAGAAGGAGTTATCCAGCCTTTCATCTTAAAAACCCCCATTAATCTATGGGGAAGGGATCTCTTGCAACAATGGGGAGCCGAGCTAATCATCCCCCCAAGTCAACCAGCTAATCAAATCATGACAAAGATGGGCTATAAGCCAGGACAGGGCTTAGGCAGACAACATCAAGGAATAAAGGAGCCTATCATTGCCCAGGGACAAACTCATAGGGCTGGACTGGTTACCCTTTTTTCTAGGCGCCATTGAGGAAAAGAGGCCTGCCCCTATTAAAATAACATGGAAAACTTCCCCGGTTTGGACTCCTCAGTGGCCCCTTCTGATAGAAAAACTGCAGGCCTTAGAGCAAATTGTTCAAGAGCAATTGCAGGCAGGACATATCGAGCCTTCGCAGTCTCCTTGGAACTCTCCTGTTTCTGTTATCAGAAAGAAATCAGGTAAGTGGAGGCTCTTAATAGACCTTCGGAATGTTAATCCCATCATGGGGCTTCTGGGTGCCTTGCAGCCTGGGTTACCCACTCCTACAGCCATTCCCAAACAATGGCCATTGATAATAATAGATCTTAAGGATTGTTTCTATACCATAGCCATTCACCCTGGGGATAAGGAGAAATTTGCCTTTTCTATTCCCAGCACTAACAATAAGGAACAAATGAGACGATATCAATGGACAGTTTTGCCACAAGGCATGACTAATTCTCCTACCATGTGTCAGTATTATGTTGGCCAGGTCCTCAGACCTGTAAGAGATCATTATCCTCAATCCTATATCATTCATTATATGGATGATATTTTGCTAGCGTCACAAACTGAAACCGAATTACAAGATGTATATCAGGCCACTTCCCAACATTTGACTTTCGCCAGTCTCTTAATAGCCCTGGAGAAAATCCAAACGACTACTCCAGCTTCTTATCTAGGCACTGTGGTAGATAGAACCACAGTGAAACCTCAAACAATGCAAATTCGTAGGGATACCCTCCTTACACTTAACGATTTTCAGAAACACCTAGGAGACATTAACTGGACTCGCCTTCTCCTAGGGATTCCAACTTAAAAATTACAAAATTTATTTAACACTTTACAAGGTGATTCTGCTTTAGATAGTCCTCTCACTCAATCCTCAGAGGCAGAGGCCAAACTGCAGTTTATTGAGTCGCGATTAAAAACTGCCTTTGCTCACAGGTATGATGATTCTCTCCCCCTGCTGCTGCTTATTTTCCCTACCCCTCATTCTCCAACTGGTGTCTTAGCACAAGAAGACAAACCTCTCGAATGGGTGACTTTACATACAAAAACTTCTCGAACTGTTACTCCGTATCTATCTCTTGTCGCTTCGCTCATTCTCCAAGGACGAAAGCATTCTATTCAAATTCTTGGTTTTGATCCTGCGCTTATTGTTTTACCTCTCTCTTCTACATCTTTCAAGGAAGTCTTTCCCTTCTCTACTGATCTGCAAATATCTCTTGCTGATTATACTGGGCGCATAGATTGCCACTATCCGTCAGGTAAACTATGGGACTTCCTAAAGCGCACTGCCTGGGTTATAAATCACGTAGTTTGTAACACCCCAGACCCCTCAGCTCCTACATACTTTATTGATGGCTCTTCCTGTGGGCTCGCTGGAGTCTGGGGCCCTGCTATTCAGTGCTCCATAAAAACCCCTTACACTTCTGCTCAACAGGTCGAACTTGCAGCTTTATTGTTCTTATTGCAGAATGTTCATTATCCTATAAATATCGTATCTGATTCTGCTTACATAGTTGGCACTGTTGCGCCTTTGGAAACAGCTCTTATTTCCACAACTCATTCTGTCATTAACCCTTTGCTTCAGGAATTACAATTAGAAATTCAATCTCGAACCCTCCCTTTGTTCATTACTCATATCCGCTCTCATTCTAACCTCCCTGGACCTCTTACACAGGGAAATCAGTCTGCTGATTTATTGGCTATTCCTATTTTTGAAACTCCACAAGTAGAACACGCCCATCTTCATACCAACGCCAACCGCCTTCATTCACACTATAAAATACCCTTGCACTCTGCCCGGCGAATAGTCTCTTCCTGTCCTATTTGTCGACCTCTACATTTAACTGAGCATCCTGCGGGTATCAATCCCAGAGGCACAGCTCCTGACTGTATTTGGCAAATGGATGTTACTCATTTTCCCCCTTTTGGACGCCTCTCATATATTTATGTCACAATAGACACCTTTTCAAGATTTCTTCATGCTACTCCTTTGACGGGGGAAAAGACTGGGCATGTCATTTCTCATTTGCTTGAATGTTTTGCTATTATGGGGTTACCTACTTGTATCAAGACAGACAATGGCCCAGCATATACTAGCAAAAAAGTACGAGAATTCCTTGCAGAATGGCAAATACATCATATCACAGGTATTCCTTATAATCCTCAAGGACAGGCTGTAGTAGAAAGGGCGCATGCCACCATTAAAAAACAACTCCATAAAACTACGTCTAAAAAGAAAGGGGGAATCTCCCCCGAGACGTCAGGGCACAAACCTTATTTATTTTAAATTTTTTAAACTGACCCCAAGGAGAACCATATACTAGAGCTGACAAACATTTCTCACCAGCCTCAATCTCAACTCAGGACGCACCCGTGTGGATAAAAAATGAGGAAAATAATTGGTTGCCCGGGAAATTAATTACCCAAGGCCCTGGTTATGCTTGTGTCATTCCAGATGGATCCAGTGGAGCAATTTGGATACCTCTTCGGAAAGTCCGGCCCAGGACCGGAGATAAAGACAACAGAAGAGGTCTCTCAGCTGCTGCAGGGATTGACTACCCAGCCCCCTGTCCGAGAGATGGCAGCACTCTCCTTGAAGAGACCTTGAAAACGAAAATTGCCCCTGACAACACCCCCAACTTGGGGGCAACTGAAGACCCTCACTCAGAGGGCGGAGCGAGTCCTGGAGACGACCAGATCTACCAAAACCCCTGAACATTTGTTGCTGGCTATGTTAGCGGTGGTGACATGCGCCTGTGCGGTAGGTGAAAAACACGCCTACTGGGCATACGTACCGCATCCTCCCTTGTTGCGTCTAGTCGAATGGACAGAATATGGACCTACTGTTTTTACAAATGACTCTACTCGTCTCCCAGCACCTTGGTCCTCTGTACCCCCATCTAAACCAGAAGAAGAAGGGACTCTTACGAGTATCTCTTTGGGATTTGAAACATTACCCTTATGCTTGGGACAGAAAAAAATATGTCTCCCCCTTCACGGACAAACTTGGGCCCATATCCTTCCCCTGACCAAATCATACAGAACCTTGATGGGAATAATGACCGCTTTATCATTTAATTTTAGTGAGGTCAACACAACTAACACACTGGGAAAATCTGATGATCCTGTCCGTACTACAATCTCCTATAAACATTATGTTTTTGAGCCTATATACTGGTCCTGCTGCAGGCGACCCCATGGAAAAATCCTTATGTTAAATAATAGAATGGTGGTAGATTGGGGCCCACGTGGGAAGTTTTTAAATAACTGTTCTGAGGATGTGAATAGCACCATATGTGATTACATTACACCCATAGTTTTAGTAGCTCACTTTTCGCAATTTTAATATGTTGCCTTATATTTCTCATAGGATACCGTACTTTCAAAAAACGAGTGAATGCCCAAAACCTCCATCACAGAGTGCTTATGGCAGCAGCTGTTTTGAAAAAAGAAAGGGGGAGCTGTAGGAAACAACGCCACAACGACCACTGGTGCATGTTCGTTCAGACTCCGAGATCTCTGAGAAAACTCGAGATTGCAGGGTTAAAAATAACCCGAAAGGATCAGAGTGAAATGCCCTTGGGATGTGTGTGGTCTGTTCTAAAGTACGCAGCAGAAGATGTTTTGTAGATAGGAAGCCAGCTGTAAACAGCACACTGTGCATTCCCTTCTTTGTTCTCTTATCCTGTGTTAAGGTCCAAGTACAACGGTGTTTACAATTAATTGATCACAGCCAGTTACAGATTTCTTTACTCCTTCTCCACTCCCACTGCTTCACTTAACTAACCCTGTGTACGTGGAAGAATGTGCCTTACTAAGCCCCTGCTGTAAATCATTATAGATCTATGTCATTGTAGAAGGTATATTAGACTATGGAAAATAAACCTCAGCGCCTCGGGCTGTTTGCTCGGGGTCCCCTGTGCCTCGCTATACTGTTGTCTCTTTTTCTCAGTTCCTTCGCCGCCCCAGGTCCCCGACTCTCAGAAGTCGACAGAAAGATGTCTAAGAAATACATAATTTTATTAAAATTTACTCATTCCCAAAATTACACCTACTCTGTATTATAATTTTTTGACTGCTAAAAGTAAACTACAAGAGGAAAAATGAAGTCAATTTAAGCTACTGCTCTTGTTAATAGGACAACCCCCCACAATTCTGCAGTTAGCAAGCTGTTATAGGCATTCATATTTTATATTAGTAATTACAGTATAATTCATGTTAATTCTAAAGCATGTTATGCTGATAATACCAGCCACTTGTGTCACTGTTACATGGGAGAAGACTTTTGCTAATTATTTAATAATTCACTAACTGCAAAAAATAAAGGTTAGGATTCAAAGCTCCAAGTCTAGGAACATTTTAGAAAAATCTCATCCACTTTTGAATTAATCTGTGAAAACCTTAGCAATGTCACTATGCTAATGAACAAATGCACACAGACAGTGGTTAATTTAAACTCTCATAGAGATTATCCATGACTTAAAAACTCCTGTGACACATGTGAATTGAGATATCAAATTCTACACATCCTTAATATAGTAGATACTCAGGGGTCCCACACAGGTCCCCTTACTAGAGCTAAAGCAGGCATCCCCCATCTGCTGTGTTTTGGGTGTTTATGGTACACAGCTGCCCCTTCTCCAGAGAATTCCTATTGGCTGAACAGGAGCCACCTTGCCCTGTAGAAAAAGCACATTGCTCCTCATCCCCATCCTGCACTTGTAGCTGGGAGCCAGGACTGGTCATGACAGACAAGGCTATAAAAATGGCTGCTCCCTTTGCCTCCTGGAGTAATTCTCAGGTGCAATTGGTGTTCCAGAGCTCCCATGCAATCAGGCTAAGGTTAAATTCACATTCTTGCTTAGAAGCTTCCCCTAATCTTACTTTGCTTACTTCAGTTGCTTTCTCCTAAAGGATATCCTCAATCACTCACACTTGAATCTCATCTCAGGCTTTCTTGCTAGGGAATCAGACCTAAGACAATTCATATCCCTAATGAAAGGTGATAGAAGAAATCTTACATTTTTGAAAACCTACGAAGTCCTATTCTGTACAAGTGGCACTATTATTATTCTCATTTCATATTGAAGAAAACAATCAGAATCCAAATCCCATACTATATCCACTGACTCATGTGATTTAATAGAAAAACTTCAAAATGCCAAATTTGCAAAATTTCATTATATAAAATATCTCTCTAAATCTTCTTTGATTATGACACCAAAGTTACTCAGAAAAGCAAACAGGGAACAAATAAATAGTGTTGCAGCACAGAAGGTGAGACTAAGTGAGACTGATCTGTCACTATTTCTATGACTGTGAGTAAGTTAATTAACTTTTCTGTGTCTTAGTTTCCACATTTGTAAAACAGGGATAATTATAGTATCTTCCTTGGATTTATTTTTAAAATTTATGAGTCCATAAATGAGTCTATAAAACTGATGACCTTTTGGAAAAGTGTCACAAATCTGCTACATTTGGAGAGATAAAAGGCAGAATTTTTTTCAAAAACACAGAAAATCAAAAGAATTATAAATTTGGTAACTGATGATTTCCTTGACTGTGAAAAACCCTAAAAGCCATTTTGTATTTTATTGCATGTGTTTGCTATATAAGGTCAGAAAGCTCTGGAATTTCCTCTCTGCATATCTAAAACCATTTTTATGTACTAAATATAGGGAGGCTTTACACTATTAACTCACACAGTTATTTAAAACAAGCAGGTTCCAGGGTTTGTTTGTTGTTGTTATTGGTGTTTCTCCATTTCACTTCCTGAATATCCAGGAAAAGATCTGAAACCAAAATAATTTAAAAAAAAAAAATTTAAGACAATTTGGTTAACAGAAAATCAATGCCCTAAGGGTCTCACTTAATTGTGAAATCTGATCCCATTTTAGATGAGTAAGAGATGAAAGGACTGAGCCAAATAGATAGGGTCAGCAACATTTAGTTTAAATCACTGTTCATCAAAATATTTCAAGAAATATAAAATAATCTAGTTTTTCTTCAGGAAAAAATCCCTACATGACATCCTTTCCTTTAATTGCTTCTAATAACATCTTCAGAACAAGATGTTTTGTCTTCCTCTACATTTCATTCAAAACTATGTATTCAAAAGGATATAAAGTTTGAGCAAAAATGTGTAACTCAGATCAGGAATTTCCTAAATTATTATCTTCCTGGGAAATACTGCATATTAATTGTATCCAACAGCAATTTTTAAGAACTGAAGGATCTCATGCTTCTAGAAATTGGATGTTTCTTTCACTCATTCCTTAATCAGGTATTTATGCAATTACTTCACTCAGCCAGGCTGTCATAGATACAGCAGGTATTGACTGAGAATCTTCTAAGTGTATGGTACTTCCCTAGATATTGATATAGTGACAGACAAGGCTCTTGTTTCTTGGAGCTTACATCCCTAGTGTGGAAAATTTATATTGAACTAATAAATGATCAAACAAGATAATTATAGTTTGTGATCATTTCTATAAAGGGAATGAACTGTGTGTTGTTTTAGAAGAAACTGGAAGGTCTGGGCAGTTCTGAAAAGCAGCTTTAAAGAGCTACAGTTGGAAGACTGAAAATAAGCCAGTCAGGAAGAGTTGGGAGAAGACTTCTGAGCAGAAGAGCAGGTGCAAAGGCTCTGAGTACAAGACTTGGAATGTTCATGGAGGTGACAGAAGATTATCACCACTCTTAAAGCACAAGTAAGTGGCAAAACATAAAGCAGGAGAGGGAGACAGGACTTAGGTCATGCTGGTTCATGTAGTCTGATAAGGGATTTTAATTTTATTGAAAGAACAACCGGCAACCACTGAGGTTTTAAGTAGGGAGTGACATGATTTAATTAAAAATTAAATTTAAAAATTGACTCATTTGCATCTAAAATGGATTGGAAAATAATAAAATAAACTAAGGAAGATAAGTAGGAGGCTAGGAAAGAAATCTAGGCAAGAGATGATGGCAGCTTGAAAGTATAGTGGAAAAGGTGGAGAGAAGTAAACAGAAGCAAGATATTTTGGCAGCTAAATTGAAAGGCTTGTTGACATTTCAAATGTGGGTAGGGAGATGAGATAAGCAGAGGAATTAACTAGATTTTTAACTTAAGAGTTGATGGTAGTGAAGCCACTGAAATGGTGAAGATTAAGGAAGGTAGAGGCATGCAAAGAAAAGAATAGAGAACCGCATTTTGGTCATACTAAATCTGAGATGGTTCCTGCTTGACACCCAAGTGGTGATAACAAGTAGGCATTTGGAAATAAAAATATGACTATCGGGAGATAAATCAGGTGAAGATACAGAATTGGAAGACATCAGTATATAGATAGATTTTCAAGCCATGGCAAAGAACAAGATCATCTAAGAAAAGGAATGTAAATCTATGTATAAAAGAAGGCAAGTGAAGACTGTGTTTCGGGGAGGAATGATCAACTTTGAATGCTTTTAGATGAACTCCAGTTAGAGAGGGATAAGGATGTGGAGGTGTCCATTATATATGGAAAATAGGAATGTTTGGTTCTCCCTGACAGGAACAGACTGAGAAAAATACAGGAATGAAAACCAAGAAGGGTTGGAGTAAGAACAAATGAGAATTGAAGCAGTAGAGACATATCAGTGTAAATAACATATCTGAGCAATTTTGCTGGGAAAAGATGCAGGAAAAAAAAGGTTTGTGATTAAAGGGAAATATAGAGCGAATTAATGATTTTTCTTAAGATGGGAAATACTGGTATATATTATAGGCTGGTAAAAATGAAGGAGTGGAGAGAAAGAGACTATTGATTCAGGAGAAAAATACTGGAAATTAAGAAAGAGCACAGTCTTTAAAAAGAAGTCAGTGGAAGCATGAGAAACAAAAAGATTTGGATTTCACCTGAACGGAGTCATTTCTTCCATTTGAACAGCAAAGAACACAGAAAACAAGCACAGGTAGAGGCTTTGACTTTAGGTTTGACTAATGGAGATGAGGAAGGTTACAGCTAGTGGCTGGAAGTCAGGAAATTTAAGAGGAGGAAAGCCTTGATAAGAAATGATGCTTTTTTGAAAAAGTTAAGGTTGGTTAGACAATGAGATAAACAGTGGTGATAAAATGATAACAAGAGAAGTTAGTGGCCCAGCTAATGTAAAATATGTATAACTGGCCTTATTACTTCATTTCTGGTATTTGTCAAAAAGGGCAACTCTAAAGATAATGTGAAAGAACAAGAAATATTTCAAGGATGCTTAGAATAGAAAATGAAGGCTCTAGACTACTTTTAAAAGGTCTAAAATTTTAATTTATTATGATGCACTCTTAATCTTTTTGTTTTAATGGAGAAAGCACCTTTCCTCAAAATCTCCATAGAACACGCTCTTCAAAATTTTTGAAATTCTGGTAAGCCTACCAGCTGAACTCTTTATTGCATGTGTTTCCTTTTGGTTGAAGACAAAAAAAATTTCAAAAATTAATATTTTACCAATATGTCAGTTCCATTGTACTTAGTACAAATAAGATAATTTGTTTTTTTATATTTTTGTAAAACATAATACACATTCAGAAAAAAAGCTAGAATTTAAATATACAACTGGATGAATTATTGTAATATGAATATCTATATAGCCAACACTAGAGCAAGAGAGAAAAAATATTGCCAAGCCCCCAAATGCTTCTTCCAGATGACAACACCCTTCTTCCTTCCCAAAATTAACCTGACTTTATAGTTTTATTCTTTAGTGGTATATAAGCTATATAGTTTCCTCTGACTGTTTTGAACTTTATATGAATGGAATCATAAAGTATGTGTTCTTTTATACCTGAATTATTTTGCTCAAACCTATGTTCTTAATACCCATCCTTGTTTGTTTTGTGTATCTATATAGCTAACTCCTTTTCATAGCTATGAGGTACTCTAAATCTATACATCTTCTTATCTAACCATTCCACCATAAT